GGCCCCACAGTGTAACCAGCTCTTTGAGCTCCTGCAAGACCTGGTGGACCACGTCAATGACTACCACGTCAAGCCCGAGAAGGATGCGGGGTACTGCTGCCACTGGGAAGGGTGTGCCCGCCACGGCCGAGGCTTCAACGCCAGGTGAGGGAGGGCACCAGGGCGAGAGGGGAAGGAAGGGGTGGGGGAGAGGGGCTCAGGCGTCCAGCAAGCTGAGCCACGCTTCTGTGCCCTCCCTGGAGCAGGTACAAGATGCTCATCCACATCCGCACACACACCAATGAGAAGCCACACCGCTGCCCCACCTGCAGCAAGAGCTTCTCCCGCCTGGAGAACCTGAAGATCCACAACCGGTCACACACAGGTGAGGGGCTGGGCTGGAGGGCGGGGGCTGGGCGGGCTGGCTGTGGGCAGAGTGCATGGCCATCCCCCGGGCATCCCCGAGATGAGAGATGCAGCCCATTGCTTAGCAGTCCCTTTTGGGTACCATTTACTGAGGGGAACTCCTGTGGGTTAGACCCTGGACATACAGGAACACAGACATGTCTTCCTGTGTCACACTCACCATTGTTGTTCAGATGCTCATCTGACTGAGGCCACCTGTGACTGCAGATAGTGTGTCTGCTCCTCACCGTACTCCAGCACACAGTAGGCCAGCACTGGCTGGCAGAGCCACACATTTAATTTTAAATTACCTAATCACTACATTAAAAAAAGTACAAAGAAATAGGTGAAGCAAATTGTAATGATGTATTTTCTTGAACCTAATATATCCAAAACGTTATCATTTCAATATTTTAAAAAAATCCCTGAGACCTTGAAATTCTTCATGTGGTACAAAGTCTGCAGAATCGGTGTTTTTTCCCTCTGGTGTGTATTTTGCACTCGCAGCACATCTCAGTTTGGACTGGCCACGTCTCAAAGGCTCATGGCCTCACGTGGCTCCCGTCCTGGTCAGCGCAGGAGCAGATGGTTAGTAAGTCTGGAGCCGTTTTGCTGAGTATGCCAGATAAAGGGCAGCAGGCTTCATGCCGCGCTTGGTGTGGACCGCGCCCCTAGTAGGGTCTTTATGTAGGTATACGATCAAAGTCATCCGTCTGCCTGTGGTGGTCACTGTCATCCACAATTTGAAACATAGGACTCAGGCCAAGGGCACACAGTCAGGCCACAGCAGAACTGGGGTGACCAGGCTGGCTTCTCGTGGTTATGCCCTGCTGCCCCCACCTGGGGTCAGATCTCATGTCAGGTACTGGGGACACCGCCCCTCAAATCAGATAGTCGGGCTCTCAGGGACATCTCGGTCTGGGGAGGAACTTGGGCTGGGGAGACCGGGAGAGGGCGAGCCCCTCACGCCGGCACGGCCCGCAGGTGAGAAGCCCTACGTCTGCCCCTATGAGGGCTGCAACAAGCGCTACTCCAACTCGAGCGACCGCTTCAAGCACACGCGCACCCACTATGTGGACAAGCCCTACTACTGCAAGATGCCCGGCTGCCACAAGCGCTACACGGACCCCAGCTCACTGCGCAAGCACATCAAGGCCCACGGCCACTTCGTGTCCCACGAGCAGCAAGAGCTCCTGCAGCTTCGCCCGCCGCCCAAACCCCCACTGCCCGCCCCTGATGGCAGCCCCTATGTCAGCGGGGCCCAGATCATCATCCCCAACCCCGCCGCCCTCTTTGGAGGCCCTGGCCTGCCTGGCCTGCCCCTACCCCTGGCCCCTGGCCCTCTTGACCTCAGTGCCCTGGCCTGTGGCAATGGTGGGGGCGGTGGGGGTGCAGGGGGCATGGGCCCTGGGCTGCCGGGCCCTGTCCTGCCCCTCAATCTGGCCAAGAACCCGCTGCTGCCCTCACCCTTTGGGGCTGGCGGACTGGGCCTGCCCGTGGTCTCCCTCCTCGCTGGCTCCGCTGGCGGCAAGGCCGAGGGGGAGAAGGGGCGTGGGGCAGGGTCAGCCAGGGCCCTGGGGGTGGAGGGCCACAAGATACCCCTCGAGAGGACTGAGAGCAGCCGCTCCCGGCCAAGCCCTGATGGACTCCCCCTGCTGCCAGGCACCGTGCTGGACCTGTCCACGGGCGTCAACTCAGCGGCCAGTAGCCCAGAGGCACTCACTCCTGGCTGGGTGGTCATCCCGCCGGGCTCTGTGCTGCTCAAACCAGCCGTGGTGAACTGAAGCAGGTGGACAGCTACCTGCAGCCCAGCCAGGAGCTCTCGGCCCTGCCCCCGACGAACGGAAACTCTTCTGTGAAATAGCAATAATGTCCTTCTGCCCCTGTGGCCTGGTTGGCTGTGTTCCCCCAGCAGACCAGCCTCAGACAGGCTGGGCAGCCAGGATGGTGCTAGAAGGTCACTGCTGGTGTCCCAGGCTCCCAAGGGAAGAAGAGCTGTGCCCCTGGGTGCTGAGGCCTCGCTCACCTCTGGCCCGCCCCCTGCCCTGTCCTCCACCCAGCCCTCACTCCCCCTGGTCCCCACTCTGGTGCTCCCTCATCCAGTGGCCACCCTGGGCAGGTTGCCCTCCCCCACTGCCTTGCCCACCTGCCAGCCATGTCCCAGCAATGGGGGCGGCTGGGGTGGCCTCTGTCCTCCTCCTGGCACGGGGCTCCCTCCCCACCCCCTCCACATGGTGAGCTGTGATGAGAAGCCCCCCGGGATCGAGGCCCCACCGCCTCCTGCCTAGCCTCATGGGCCCCTGCTCTGGGGGCTCTTTGGACCCTTTTCCCTCTGGCCCACCCTCCAAAGGGAGAGCAAGACAGACGCAGGCCCCGGCAAAGCCACAGGAAAAAGCCACCTTATCCCTATGACAAGGCGCCTCCCCACGTGGAGAGGGAGGCCCGCTCTCCCAGCTGCCCCTCACCTTGTTAACAGCCAGCACTGCCGGAGGGGCGGCCCCTCCTCTGGGTGGATGGTGCTCTCCAAAGTGAGGGGATAGCCGACCACTCCTCACCCCTTCACCACTGGACCTCCTCCTTTGACTTGGTTGGGGGAGCCCTTGGCAGGGAGGGAACAGGTGAGGCTGGGCCTGGCTGGTGGCAGTGCCACCCTACACAAGGGGCCGCAGTGTCAGGAGGTGGAAGGCTGGCTGAGGACGACCCCAGGCTGGGACGCAGCTCCCGTTCTGGGGGCGCCAAGTCACAGCCAGCACACAGGTGAGGGAGGGCTCCAAGCCAGTGCTGGGCAAGGGAGCTTTCTGGAGGCCATGGACTGAAGGCCCTGGGCTTGAGGGCAGTGAAGCAGCCAAGGATGGCAATGGGAGGGCCTGGCCCCTCTGCCTGGGAAGGGGAAGCCAGAGGAAGTTGTGACATGGCTGTTTACTTTGGCTTTTCCCAGCTGAGCCTGTCTGAGGTGTCACCCCCTTTACTCCCCTCCCAGCGCCTGGCTCTCCTCATGGCAGGGGACAGAATAAACTGAGGCTGCTGGCGCTCCATGTGCCCCACAGCCACTACCCAATACCACCAGGCCAGCACGTGCCTCCCCCACCCTGAGTCCTTGCTGCTCCCTCCCTGGAGGTGGCCTGGTGCTGTCTGCGAGGCGCTGGCCTGGCGGTCAGGAGCTCTGGCTTCTAGGCCTGCCCTGTCCTTGGCCACAGTGACCCAGCACTCCATTTCCTCGGCTGTAGAACAAGAGAGCTGCGGGACAGCAGGGGGTGAGCAGCCCTGCGGTTCCAGGGCCCCCTGCTGTTCCTCTGAGCAGCTCTGCTGACCCTGCCCTTTCCTGGACTGCCCTTCTGTCCCAGAGGGGTCACCCTGACCCAGCCCGCCCTGACAGGGCCCTGCAGTGCTGGCTCTGCCCCTCGAAGGGGCTGTGAGTAAAGCAGGAAGGAGCTGGCCTCCTTTCTTCGGGCCCCACCCAGGACCCAGGCACCCCCCCCCCACCCCCGGCCCTACAAAGGGACCCAGGCCTTAAGTCCCCGGTCGGTCAGGGGGGTGAGGGGTTTGAGACTCAAGCCCAAGGGAGCAGAGGAACAGGGCACTGGAAGGTGACATTAGCTCAGCATGTGACTCGGTGATAGACCAGGCTCGAAAGGGCCAGTGTACGTGTTGTTGTCGTCGGTTTGTTGTTGCACATTCCAGGATATCAGTATTTTAACAGGTTCTAAGTGCCTTTCTATCGTAGCTTATGTTTTTCCTCCTGTCGGCTCCATTGCTGTTAGCATAGAGTTTTAAAAAAAAAAGAGATAAGCTAATGACTATAACAATATATTCCTCCGTGTGAGAGGAAGTTTATAAAGAAACAATAAAAGTGAGTTGCAAAGATGGCTTCTGTCTTGGATGTGCCAGGAGCTGGGCCACCTGACACAAGATCACCTCTGCCGGCCCTGGGCCTGGCTCTGGGGTCACTGGCCCCAGACGGCAGCACCCAGAGGCCCTATGCTGGCCCTTCCTCCCAACCCTGTGGGTGCCACCACCTCTCAATCTGCTGCTGGGTGCTAGAAGGGAAGGGTGGGAAGGTGCTGAGGGAGCATGAATGTTTGGAGCTGAGATGGAACATTCCAGACAAAGCATCACAGGCTCAGGCCCTTGTCTGCCACTACTTGCTCTGACTTTGGTGAGCCCCTCAGCTCTGGGGAGACCCAGCTCAGGGCCTCAGTCCAATGAGAGGATGGCAAAGAGTTCTTTTCCCCTTGGACGCACACTGGAGCATCCCACCTAGATGACTGAGATGCTAGCGTTGAACCCAGCTCAGGGGGAGGTGGCCTGTGACAGAGCTCGGGGGCCCAGGGCTCTGTCCCCAGTGGGAGGGGCAGGAGCAGACCTGAGGACAGTGATGTGGCAGGCTGGGCCTGGTGCTGTGAGCAGAGGAGTGGCTGCGTCAGGTACGTGACAGAACGTGGCTGGCTCCCTGTGGGCTGGCAGGCTTCTCACCAATTGTGCCCACCGCGGTCCCACTGGGTGTCGAAGACACAATAATGGGGAGGTGGACGCCGCTGCCTACCCCTCCCCAGAGCACACAGCCCCACAGCTGGCACAAAGAGCGGCCTGCTTTGTGGAATGTGGATGTGCGCACGTGAGAAGTGTGGAAAAGACATTTATTACCAAGCTATAAATTAGAGGTGGCGAGGTGGGGTGGGGTGGGAGGTGCCGGCGGTCACGTTGGGGGCGTCTGCTCTCTCTCTCTGTCCTCCTGGGCCTGGATTCTGAGTTCCTCATCAAGGCGCTCCTTCGCTCGAACTACCTGGGGTGGGAGTTACAAAGAGTCAGGCAGGGCGGCCTGCACAGGAGGGGCCTCGGCCCTTCCCCGGGCCAGTTCCAGCTGTGAGTCCCTGGAGAGCAGTGGGTAGGTCTGAGGTGAATACAAATCCCTCCATTACCAGTGCCCGGGGGGAGGGTGGCCTGTGGAATCCTCCCCAGGGAGAAAGAGCCCAGGGCCACGCGGACATTGGGGAGCTGAGAGCACGCCACCAGCTAATGGTTCCCTCAAAGCCATGGCTGCTGGGGAGTGGGGGGCCACTGTCCAGCGTGACACATGGCCCAGGCTGACAGAGCCTGACTGGCTGGCCCCATGGAGCTGAGGGAGTCCGAGGGAGGGGCAGTTTAGGGGGGCCCCCTGAGGTTGGGGCACCAGGGAAAAGCTCAGCACACCTTTCCACCTGCCAAGCTCTGAACTGCCTGGAAATGAGGAAGCCCAGGGAGGAGGTCTCATGGCTTGCCCTCCTCCCAGCATCGAAGAACTCTCACCTTTGACTGCAGGTAGAAGGAACCGCCCACGGATTTATCGTTCACCTTGAAAAGGTGTTCGTAGTTCTGCAGAGGAGGGGAGACCGTGAGAGGGTGTGCAGTCTCTGGGTTACAGAGGCAGGGGGAGCTAGGAGATGACAAAGAAGGAAAGCAAAAGGGCTCGACCCCTCCACCCTGCGTGCCCTGCTACGCGACCGCTAGGGGGCAGAGTGGTGGACAGGTGTCCACGGAGGGGCGCTTGCTGCTACCACCCACTGCTCTAGGTCTCTGCCACTGCCTGCCTTGGGCCTAAAAACTAACAGGCGACAGTGGCTCACACAAGTCCGAGTCCCAGCTGGCTGCAGCCCGAGTCCCCACCCCCTGCCCCTTTCTGCCAGGCCTCCTTCACTCTTCCCCACCCTGGCAGCCTGCTTCCTCTGTGACCCATTTCTGAGTGGCCAAGGCAAGGCTTGTCTCAGAGCCAGCCTGTTGGCCTCACCTTCTGGATCTCCTCGGGGCTCAGCTTGGAGACGTTGAGAATCTGCTGTGCCTCCTGGAGGCTGAGGCCAGAGAGGTTGGAGGCGGCTGCAGACTGGTGTCCGGCGCGTCCCCGGGCATCAGCTGCTGCCCGGCTGGCTGTGTGGACACACAGGTAAGCGCTCTGCCCTCAGCAGCCCAGAACTCCCCCGGGCCTTCCAAGTGGGCGGCTCACCCCTGCCACATGGCACTGGAGAAGAGACACCAGGGACAGAGGTGTGTCTCTTCTCCAGGCGTGGTTTAATTTTAGGGGGTCAGGGGTAGTGAAGTGAAGACACATTTGCTCCACTGGAGGAAAGGAGCAAGGTCTGGTCACCAAACCTCATACTCCATCGCCAACCTGGACCATGAGATGGCCCCGACCCTCTTCCTCTCTCTCCCTGTCCCCTCATCCCAGGTGCATAGCAAGTTAGGGAGCTTTAGGCTACAATGGGGAGCAGAGTGAAGCTGTAGGCAGGAGAGGCAGCAATAGCTTCAGTCGAGACCCGGCTGCCCACTGGTTACAGAGGCTACCAAAGCAGGCCGCCTTGGGTGACCTCTTCCCTTCCAATGATGCCAGAATCAGGAGCCAGTAAATTTTTTCTTAAAGGGTCACAGCATAAATATTTCAGGCTTTGCAGATCAATTGGTGTGTGTTGCAATTATTAGACTCTCTGCCTTGAAAGCAGCCTGATGATGTGGCCGTGTTCCAATAATACTTTATTTACAAAAACAGGCGGTCAGGTGTGCCAGTCTACCGACTCCTGCTCATGTCAACCAGGTTTCCCTTACATGGGAATGTCCCAAAGTCCAGCACTGCCCTCCACCACAGGAAGTGCCCCAGGCTGCCCAAACCGCAGCTTGAAGAGGGGCTCTGCATTCACACCCGGCCCATGCAAGGGGCTCACAACCACAGGGAAAACCTGACTGGGGCAGGAGCTCCCAGCCCAGGGGGACATAGGGCCGGAGCTTACCTGCAAACTCCTGCCGCAGGGCCCGGGCGAAGGCCCTGCCCACCACCTGCGCCCCCATCACGATGATCTGGGCCAGGTACTTGGCCTGTGGGCAAAGCAGACATCTGGTGAGCGGGCTGCATTCTCAGGGCCCCCAGAGATGGGACCCTGGAGATGGCTGCTGGGTGCCAGGGCTTCTGGAGAGCTGAGGTAATGAGGCACAGAGCAGCAGCCACAGGCCACTTTGCCAAAGTGCCCTGAGAGAAAGCTTCTGCTCTGGGTGGCTTCAGGAGCTCATCGGATAGCAGGCCAAGGGGTGAACTTGACGTAGTCCCCAGAGGCAGAGGGGTTCCTCCCTTGGCCTTCGGGAGAGGCAGAAGCGCCAAGGCGAAGTGGCTACAGGGCACAGAGGCCACAGGTCATGGTCAGGGAGCCGGAACCCAGGACTGGTCCCAGACCCGCCACGAACTCACTCCGCCACCGTGGGCCAACAAAGGCGCTTCCTGTGCTTCTGAAATCGGCTGGTCCAACCTTAATTCCACCAGTGGGGAAACTCGGGGCCACCCTAATCCTCCCAACACTATTCAAGCCTGTTTTATTCAACACAACTCTCCACCTTCAAACAGCAAAAAGCCCACTACACGGGCATTTAGACAAACACACTAAGGACCAAGCGGTGAGGGAGAGTAGGACCAGTCACCTGTTACTAGGAAGATGGGACAACGTACAGACCTTACTGCGAACAGAGGCGACATATAGACAGCACATGTGAAAACGACCGTGTGTGTGCAAAATGGTACAAACGTGGGTGCAGAGGATGCTCCGGAGAACACTCACCGCAGGTCAACACTGCACATCCAAGTGCTCTCTCTTCTTTATACTTTTCTGTGGTTAGATTTCCTATCAGTCAACAAGTATCGACTAAGCCCGGGGGGCCAGGCACCCTGACAAACACGTTCTATTTATTGCCTTGGACAAGATACTGAGGCACAGAAGGGCTAGTGACCAGCCCAAGGACACACAGCTGGTACTTGGGGGAAGGTGCGCAGCAAACCCAAAGTCAGTGCTACTAGCCATGGCATCCCCAGGCTGCTCACCTCACACAGGATCCTGGGGTCTGTCAGGAGGGCAACCAAGCACCTCAACCAGGATCAAGGACCCAACTCAAGGCCAAAGTGGGGCTAATCAAATTCTAGCAGAATCTAGACTCCAGAACCAGCCTTGCTTGGCCTCCAACAGACCTGCCCTTCCCTAACAGGCAGGGCAGAATGTGATTCTGGGCCACGAGTGGGAATAAATAAATGGAAGTGGGTTTGGATTTTACAAGGAGGTGGAAATTTCCTGTGAAGACTCTCCTGGATCAGAGGGAGGGGCAGGGCTGCAGCCGGCCCCACTGCAGGTGTAAAAACAAATGAGGCACTGAGTAGGGAGTCTTTTTTTTTTTTTTAAGATTGGCACCTGAGCTAACAACTGTTGCCAATCTTTCTTTTTTTTTGCTTTTTCTCCCCAAATCCCCCCAGTACATAGTTGTATGTTTTAGTTGTGGGTCCTTCTAGTTGTGGCATGTGGGACGCTGCCCCAGCATGGCCTGATGTCCATGCCCAGGATCCGAACCGGTGAAACCCTGGTCCGCCAAAGCAGAGCGTGTGAACTTAACCACTCGGCTACGGGGCCGGCCCCCGAGTGGGGAGTCTACCTGACTACCCCTCCTCATCTAAAGCCACTCCCTAGGGGGACAGGCAGCTCTGAGATGGCTGGCAGGCCAGTAGGTGACTCCAGAGGGTTCCCTTGGCCTCAGACCACAACTTCCTCTGCTGCCACTCACTCAGCACAACCCCATCACACTGCCTTGGACTCACCTGTTTGCTCCTCTGAGGGCCATGATTGTTGCTAAATAATAAACATTAAGAACTGAGGCTGTAACTGGGCAGCTTCCCCCCACGAGGCTCCAAACCAAAGTGGCAAGGCGGCCCCATGGTTCCTGCTCCCAGAGCTCCATGGCTGCCGGGAAGGCTGAGCTGGCCTGCAAAGTTTCAGAGGCTACACCAGCTGGCAAGGGAGCTGCCTGGTCAGCCCCCTGAGGCCAACAAGGTTCCCGCAGGAGCCATCTCCCGGGGGGAGCCAGCGTGGTGTGGTGGTTACACAGGCCAGCTTTGGAATCACCACTGTGCCAGTCCCAGTTGTGTGCCCTGGACAAGTTCTCAACCTCCCTAAGCCTCAGGTTCCTCACCTGTAAAATGTGCCCAACAAGGGGGCTGCCATAGGGATAAAATGAGACAAAGCGTATAAGGTGCCTGGCAGAGAGTTTGACAATACAGCAGGTGCTCAATAAATGCTGGTTTTCACTTATCGCTACTCTTTGTTTCACAAAAGGTGACAATGGCCAGATACAAAGGAGGAACGAAGATCCTCTCAGTACCGGAGTGCATTCCATATATCCCCTGATTCCACAGGGGAGAATGCTGCAAAAAGCCAGGCTCTGTCCCGGGGAGCTTGGACGCAGCTGGAAGAGGAGTGAGAAGGCTGCTTTGGAGTCAGGCTGATCAACTGGGAATCCCAGCTTTGTTTCTTGCTAAATGGATGGCCCTGGGCAAATTACTCAGCCTCTCTGAACTCCAGGTTTCTTATCTGCAAAATGAAGAAAATAACACCCTCCTCACAGGACTGCAAGGCCCTCAGGAGGCAAGGCACCTAAAACTAAGCGACAGACAGACAGCGGCAGGTCAGAGGAGTGCAGCTCCGCCAGCAGCTGTTACCATAGGTGATGAAGACAGCCACTGGCTGAGGCCTCTCTCGGAACGCCCTAAAATATCCTATAGTCCACGGACTGACACTCAGGCCCGAAGGTCCCAGGCAAGAGCAACTGGCTGACATGGCATCCAATGTCAGGCCAACCTGACGATCAAGAGGCAGAGGTCAGAGCCATAGACTCCAAGCCTGGGCCCCACTGTGTTTGGCACATATACCTTCTCAACAGGGCAGCAACACAGCCCAGTGCAGGACCAAAGCCCCGCAGCTGGGGCCAAGGACCATAGGCAGTGTCAGGGGTGGGGAGGCACTTAGAGTACGGTTTATCCCACGTCAAGTGGGTTAACAAAGGAGCCTGGCTTTCAGACAGACCCATGCGCAATGCTCTGTTCAAGGCAGTTCCAGGCCCTCGGGCTGGTGGGCAGACACTGCCACTGAGACTCACTCCCTTCTCAAGGAGGCACGGAGATACGAAGGGGGCTCTGTTCACCCAGGGCCCCTGCAAACAGCTGCTGGCATCACAACTAGGCAGGAGGGCGGTCAGGACCACAATTGTCACATTTGCTGAAGTATGCCCGGGGCCCAGCCTGTGGCCGGTGCAGCAGGCGCCCAAAACATATTTGAATGATTATGACATGCAACCAGTTCCCCATCAGCTCTGCTTTGACCAAACTGAAGTCTCATAAACTCTAAGCCCCCAGACAGGGTTTCCAAATGCCTCCCATTCGCTCTTTGAAAGGAGGGCTCTGGCCATCCTCCCACAATACTCACACAGTTCTCTACCGCTGCCACCTACAAATTCAGTCCACTCCCCAGCTTGGCATCCCCAGCTCTGACTTCTCTGCTTTCTTCTCCTCTCACCTCTCCACCCTGCAGCCACACCAGCAACACCTAGATCAGCTCTCCTATTTCTTTACCCCGAAGTCTCTGCAGCTCTGAATTCACACACCATCTAAGTTGCTCTTTTAAAGTGCACAATTCAGCGCTTTTTAGTATATTTACAGAGCTGTGTAAGCATCACCACGAATTCCAGAACATTTTTATCACTAACCCCAAAAAACTCCATACCCACTAACCTTAAATATCCTCCCTCCTACTCTGATAATTTGTCAAAATCCACCATCCTTCAGAACAGCTCTATACATCACCCTTCATTCTGAGGGAAACCTTCCCAGGCTCCTCCCAGAGCAGTCTTTCTTTTCCTGTTAATATACTGTCATATTGTCTTATTTTACAGACTCGCTTACTTTCTCCTTTAAGATACAAACTCCTCCAGAGCCACATTTTACTCCGCCCCTACGGCCCTTGAGGGTGGCTGAGTTGCGCGCAGGAATGCATGTGAAGGACCCAGTTTAGCCATCATAGGTCCCCAGTTAATGGCAGTGACTATTACAAGGCAGGAATGACGTGGTGGTAAACGTGTAGTCTCAGGACTCAGAAGGATCTGGGCTCAAAACTAGTCTCTGACACTTCTAGGGTAAGTGACCCTAGAGGAGTGAAAATCTCTGAGCTTCAGGTTCCTTATCTATAAAATGGGGACAATGAGAGTACCAACTTCACAAGAATGACAAGAGAATCTACATAAAGCCTCAGCTCCGGGCCTGGCACTTGTAAGCTGTTATGTTATCCTCATCATTATCAGGTAAGAGGTGTCTCCCCAAACTGGCTGCGTCAATCACTTGGGGAACATACATATACAGCCTCTGGGGAGAGAGCGCGGGATGCTGCGCTTTTAAAGGGTCTCCAGGAGACCTGATGCAGCCAGCGTGGCCCAAGTCTGTGGACCAGCTCTTGGTGCCAGTGGTAGCGCAGAAACGCTCAGTTTTCGGTGTCGCGGGGCCTGAGTCGAGTCCCAGTTCTGTCACTTCCTTGGGAAAGTCTCGGAGCCCGTTTCGTCAGCTTTTAAGCGAGGATGATAACAGGACGACACCATCAAGCAAGTGCAGGGCAGAGCGGGGGCTCGCGGGCCGACCAGCCTCCACCTAGGCTGCACGCACACGGGCGGGCGCACACGGCGAGCGCATCTGCGGGTATTGCCCGGCCAGCCAGGCCCGCCCCGCCTCCAGCCAGGAGGCTCTCTCGGCCCCGGGGCCGCCAGTGCCCGCCTCGGTACCCCCGGTGCGACGCCCCCGGCCCCCGCTTCCCGCCGGCACGCAGGAGGCACGCGGCGCCCGCAGCCCGGCCGGGACTCGTCAGCCCCGCCGCGGCCCCGAAACGGCCTCCCTTTCCCCGTGCAGCGCCCAACGTGGGCCTCACCATGGCAGCCGCTCTGCCTCGGGGACGCGGGCTCCGGCTTCCTGGCCCCGCGGCCGCGACACAAGGACGGCCGGCAGGTCAAAGGTCGAGGAAAGGAACAGAGAGCGCGTGCGCAAAGCCGTGAAGCGCATGCGCATTAACTCGACCTAGGGGGCGGGGCATGTGCGAGGACGTACACGCAGTGGGCGGAGTCGGAGGCGAGGCCCGCCTGGGAAGGCAGGTAATGCGCCTCGCCAGGACCTACTTGTGTATCAGGGTGCGCTAAGAGTAACAGAATATATCCGTCAAATACGGGGCTATTTCTTCCCTTGATTTTGAAAAAATATTTGGGACTAAAAGATATGCAATAGGGGCCGGCCCCGTGCTTAGTGGTTAAGTTCGCGGGCTCCGCTTCAGGGGCCCAGGATTTTCCCAGTTGAAATCCTGGGCCCGGACATGCAACCGCTCATCAAACCGTACTGAGGCGGCATCCCACATGCCACAACTAGAAATATACAACTATGTACCAGGGGGCTTTGGGAAGAAAAAGGAAAAATAAAAATCTTAAAAAAAAAAGATATGCTATAAACGTACAGTGCCTCTCAAACGTAACAAGATGCCAAATCCTCACAAATATTTAAGAAAACAGGAAACTTCAAGATACATCTCATTCCAGGTTCCTTCTGTCTGGGAAGGAGGGCTCATTCCCGGTTCCTTCTGTCTGGGAGGGAGGGGTCATTCCCTCCTCCCTCACGTCTTTGCTCAAATGTCACCCTAGTGAGGCTCACCTTGAGCCCCTACCAATGCCGCAAATTGCTCTTTTTAGTAACTGCTTTATTGAGATAGAATTCACCCCCTTTTTTTTTTCTGCTTTATCTCCCCAAACCCCCCGCCGTACATAGTTGTATATCTTAGTTGCAGGTCCTTCTAGTTGTGGGATGTGGGACGCCACCTCAACATGGCCTGACGAGCGGTGCCATGTCCGTGCCCAAGATCCAAACCCTGGGCCACCGCAGCGGAGCGCGCGAACTTAACCACTTGGCCACGGAGCCAGCCCCAGAATTCACCCTTTTAAAGTGCACAATTCAGTGCTTTTAAATATATTCCCAGAGTTGCGCAACCATCACTAGTTCCAGAACGTTTTCATCAACCTCCCAAAATACTCCAAACCCTTTAGCCATCAGTATCCATTTCCACTCCCCCAGCCCCCAGGAAACTAATCTCTGTTCTGTCTCTTATGGATTTGACTGTTCTGGATGTTTCATAGAAATAGGATCAGACTGTATGTGGCCTTTCATTTCTGGCTTTTTAACCTCCATTCTTGATCCCCTCTATTTTTCCCCAAAGCTCTCATCACCTTTATTATGTCATTCATTTATTTTATGTTTATTGTTTATAAACTGTTCCCTCCCACTAGAATGTGGATTCCTGGTAGGCAGGACTTTTAGCTTTTCTCCACTCTTGGACGTCAGCACCTGGAGGGGTGGCTGGCCATGGAAGGTATTCCACAAATGTTTGTTGAAATGAATGAAAGTCAGGCTGCCTTGACCTATGTTCCGGACCACTGCCCTTCTTTTCCTTCTATAAACTCTCCAAATTCTTTCTTTCCTCAGCATCCAGGCCATGCTTCCTGCTGTCTGAAATGTTCTCAGGTCTCTCTCCGTGGCTTAGCAGGCTTCAGGCCTTATAGCTCTCAGCTTAAATGTCATCTTTTCAGACCCTGAATGCCCTGCTTCCTCTTGCAGACAAGTGGCTCCCTTTCACATCATTTCTCTTCTTTATAGCTCTCTTCACGCTCCCCACCTGCTTACTTGCACACAGTCTAGCTCCACTGCATAATATGACTATAGTAAGTGCCTTGAGAGGCCTGTGTCTCCTGTTCACTCTAGTACCTACCATCCAGAACACTGCTGGATACCTGTGTGTTGGATGAATGAATGAGCTCCCAGCAGCATGCAGCTGAAAAGGCCTCAGCAGCAAAGCAGGGCCTGGGATGAGGGGGAGCCCAGGGCCAAACCACCCTCCCTATACTCCCCCGCCCCTTCCAGCCAGCCCAGAGACCACTGCAACACAAGAGATGGCCAGCTTAGAAGAGTTTAATTGATGAAAAGATCCAGAGTCTGTGCAGGCCCGTCTCTGCAGGGCTCTCACCCCCTTAACTGGGCCCTCAGCTCTGTGATGCCCCTTTTCCTGGCTTCAAGCCTGGGGAGCAGGGCGACTGGTCCCAGGCCCCTGAGGCTGGTGCTGCTCCAAATGGCCTGGCGGGGGGCCGGCCCCCAAGGCCCTTGACAAGAACTAGGGCAGCAGGCAAGATGGGGTGGCATGTAATACTGAAGGTGCTGGGTGAAGCCAGCCCAGGCTGGGACCAGCCCAGGTCAGAGTAGGGAAGACAGGGAGCCCAGGGCCTGCCCAGGGACATGCTACTGACCCCCGACCCCCACCCCCCTGGCTCCACATGCTAACAGGCAGCTGAGGAGAAGCAGCTGGTCCCAGAGAAAACAAAGGTGCAGACAATCCACCAGAGTTGCAGCGGGGCCCAGAGGCCATGGAACTGCCCAGGGCCCAAAGGAAGCCAGAGCTTCTGGGATGAGGTGTGCCAGAGCCAAGGGGTGTCTTCCAGTTTGAGGGTGAGATGTGAGGTGTGCAGGGGGCACAAGGTGGTTTTAGGAGGTGGCGGCAACAGGTGAGGCCAGAGGTGGCTGGTGGGCAGACTAGTCCTGGGGAGATAAACCAACAAGTGGGAGGGAGTTGAGAGGGCCTGGGGAGGGGAGGTGGCACATGCTGCAGGGGTGTGTGGGGAGGGATAGATGCGGGGTCCACTGGTCCACTTACCCACTCGTCCTCGTCCACACCTTCGAAGGAATCCTGGGGGAGTGGGTCCTCCCGGTTCCCCAATTTCGCCACCATGGCATTCAGCAGCTGGGAGAGTGGAAAGGAGCAGAGGTGAGAAGGGAATAGGACTTCCAACCCCAAGAATGTCAGACCACAGTTTGAACTCTGTCAAGGCTGTGAAAGAGCCATTTTCATTAGAGCCCTGACAAAGTTAATGGTTTTCATTGAAAAAGCCACCTCGACAGAGACAGGGGAGCCAGAGGACAGACTGTGACACGCAGCACCGGAGTCATAAGACAGCTGTCTCCACACACTGCCTCAGACACTCAAATGTGCACGGGGTCCCAAAGGCACTTGGGTCCCAAACCTCCAGCCCTGGTTGGGTTGGGCCAGGCCAGAGCGGGGCCTCTCTCTGCCGTTCCCTGGCTTCCCGAGCCCTGTGCCCCGTGGGTGGTAGCAGTCAGCTTCAGGGCTCCAGAAGGTCTCCCCATCAAGCTCTCCAACTGAGATGGGGGTGACACTGGCTCCTGTTCCCATTTGAGTCGGGTTAGAGAACTGAAGGCTTGCGAGGGCAAGCACCAACTGAGAGACCTGTCCCCTCCCAGGGCCAGCCCCCTCCTGCGCCTACCTCTTCCTTCTTTTGCTGGTCCGACTTCTCTTCCAGGTAGAGCGCTGAGGATGGGGCCCGCCGGGCAGGGGCTTCACGGGGGGCCTGGCTCACTGGGGCAGGGCAGGGACAGGCATGAGGCATCAGAGTCCCCTTGGTTGGGGCTCCTTACTCAACCCTTTGGTACCAGCCCCTAGAGGATTTCGTGGGAGAGACCCCAGAGTGGCATTAACAGCTACTGACTCCTCTGTTCACAGGACCACCCTGGGCACCAGGTTGCCTGTGCGCATGCGTGCGTGCATGTTGGGCTGGGCACTTGTGATGGAAACACAGAACCTGGGCCCTGCCTCCGGGGGCTCAGAGACAGAGCCTGGAGACCCTGCCTCCTCATCCCTGGGAGTACCAGAGGTTTCTGCGTGCCAGCAGGGATGGAGGACTGGACTTGGGCCTTCTGCCCCTTTCTCCAACTCTCACCCACTCCCCTGCTTTCTACTTGCCCCCCGGTCCCTCATCCTACCTGGGGTCATGCCAGGGGGCTGCAGGCTGAGAAGCCGGGGTTGCCCGTTAGCGCCTTCCAGCCAGGCCTTGGCACTGAGTACCGGCTCCCAGGTGATGGCTGTGTCCGGGAACACGTCATCCTGGAAGAACTCTTTCTGCATGGAGGGAGGAGGGGGCTGCCCTGAGGCACTGACCAGAGCCCAGGGCACAGTGGCATCCGTTGGTGGGGGGGGGAGAATGGCAAGACCTGGCACCCCAGTCTGGGGTTTCTGAATCTCAGCATAGGAAGGGGTACAGGTGCCCCAAAGAGCAGCAAGTGGGGCAGTTTCGTGACAGGGCCAGCCAGGCCCCAAAGCCCCTGATGGACTGGGATGGGGGCTGGGCGTCAGTGAGTGGGGATCCAACCTCACCCTGACTCGGGGCAGCCGGAAGGCGACGGGCTCCAGGGATGTCTGGCGAAGCCGCAGGCATCGGGCAAACTCCACTTCCCGCACGTCACACTCAGACTTGGGCAGGAGGACAAAGCCCTGGGGAAGCAGAGGTGTGAGCTGGGGCTGCAGCCCAGAGCTCACAGCCCCCCTCCCTTAGGACCTCCGGGACCAGGCCTGTGCCTGCATAGTGGGGTCCTGGCAGATGTTTGATAACCAGCTGTCTGGAGGAAAAACGCCCTGATTTGTAGCGTTGGTGTGAAAACTCCCACCTTGGCTGATGACTCGCCGAAGGCAGACTTGAGAAGAGAGGTGCAGTAGCTTGCTATGAGGTGGTATTTCCACCAGACAGACCAACAGAGCAAATAACCTCAAAAGCATAAATAATAGTAAAATCAGGTAAAATAACTAGGTAGTGATAAATTGGGTATTTATTGCCTTGGTTTCTAATATAATTTATTTGTAGGTTCATATAACTTAACCTCATATGGTTTAATTTTTAATAATGGTTGAGTTTAACAACCAGCTTCCCGGAGCTGCTGGGCACAGCTGGCCCGGTGACCTGCCGACCCCGTGACCTGCCGACCCCACAGGCCCCTGCACTTCCCCACATGGCCACGAGAGGGCGGGGGAGCCCTGTGGTCCCACCTAGGCAAGAAGGGCCACGGAGCTCGAGGGCTCACCTTGTGGGGGTCAGAGGACGTGAAGCTGTTGCACTCCAGGAAGAAAGGGGCCTCGGGGAGCAGCTCGTACAGGAACACGCGGGTGTCACCCTGGGGGGGCAGCGGCGGGGAGAGTGA